CTCTCACACAGAGAAGGCGGTGGGCCAACATAGAGCCAGGTTTATTACTCAAAGCATAACATTTTTGCTTGGGCCACCGCAGTTTGACACTCCGCAAAGTTGGTCAAGCATAGATTAAGCTTGGCTCTAATCCTATCCAGATCCACCCTAAGGGAGGAAGAAAGAGTGGGTTTAAAGGCTTGAGAAACATGCTCCAATTCCTGTTCCAACTCTCCCCGACGCTTACCGCTTTTTTTTTTTTTCTGTCGTCGGGATGTGATTTAAAGGCTTCCCAGACAACTGGAATAGGGGGAATAGGGGGACCTGAATCCCTATTGATGAGAAAGTATTCCAGTGTCTCCTGTTGCAGCAAAAGCAAAATATCAGTGTGAGACAACAGGTGGTCATTAAGTAGCCAGCCACGACAGAAGACCAAGGAAGCACAAGTCAAAAGCACTGGGTCGTGATCCAACCAGGGAAAAGTCAAAACGCTAGTGTTCGTCACCACAGGAAAGAAATTATGCGGGATCAGGATGTGGTCAATTCTGGAGAATATATTGTGGGTGCAGGACAGTAAGTATAAAATCACATGTTTGTGGGTGCAATTCTCCCCAAGCATCAACAAGCCCAGCTGTCTCCAACAGTTGTTGAAGCTTGCAGGGGTCCAACTAAAGATGTCTGAGAAGTTGGAGAGGACCGATCTAGACCATGGTTAAGCACCGCATTTGAACCCCCGCACAAGAACATGACACCTCGTTGATGGTGATCAAGAAGCTCCATGAGGTGAGAAAGAAAAGGGTATATAGGATACATTGGGAGCATAAGTCGTCAAAAAGGTAACTTCAGAGCCTAGTAGAGTGCCATGATGTATCTAGCTTGGGGATCGCAATCTGCTTTGTACATTGAAAACCCAGGTTTTTCAGAAAGACAAATTAACACTACCCTATGCCTAGAAGTTGCAGAGGCATAAAACACCTGGGGGTAAGAAGAAAAAAGTTTAGGGGAACGGGGGGGAAAAAAAAAAAATCGGTGAAATTAGATTGTTGGAAGCAGGCCACGTCAATGCATCGAGTACACAAATAATAAAAAACAACTCATCTCTTAGCCGTCGAATTCAGGCCCTGGACGTTAAGAGTTATTACATTAAATCGACATTTCACTAGGTCACTAGGTGTGCTATACGCTCAAATGTATTAATGATAGCAAGATCCAGACAATAAGAATAGGAAGCTCTAAAAAGAAGGAAGGGGGGGGAGAATAGGGAGTGGGAAAAAATTTCCCAGCCATCTTCTCCATCCCCCAGGCTATGAAAAACTGTAAAGCGAAGCGACAATGGGCGCATCAGGAGGAGGAGGGAGGCACCAAGGCTCTTCAGGTAGGTAAGTATACCAGCCTGTATCCAGTGAAACAACCAGGCATAGCAGACATGACCATCAGCCTAGTCCTATGTTTTGAAAAACTTGATAACTCAAGGCAGAAAATCTTTGTGCAGCAGTAACTTTGGACCATAAAGCCTGAGATGATGAGGAGCCTGCCCAAGCAGGAGCAGTTCCCGATGGTGAAGGAGTAGATTCCACAGGCAGCCTTGGTCCCCAACTTCAGAAAGCATAAACTAACCTCTTCCAGGGTATGCAACTGGTAGGCCACATTACGATGGGTAAGGATCAGGCGGAACTGGTACCACCATCAATACTTGATCAACTCAGCTTGCAGGATCAGCAAGTACGGGGCGCAAATTCCTCCTCTTGACAATTGTGATTGCGGCCAGGTCTTAAAAGATTTTAGAAGCACGACCCTGGAAAGTTAAGTCTGGGGAGCCCCGAGCCACCCGCATAACATGATCTTTAGTGACCTAGTAATGAAAAACTTAGCTATACTGTCCCCAGGGGGCCCATTAGCAAGCTTACGTAACAGGGTTCTGTGAACTCTGTCCATCTCCAACCACTCCAGTGGGATGTCGGGTGCCAATACCTGAAGCAAGGCAGTTACTGAGCCGCATAGATCTTCAACGCTTTCAGGCAAACCGTGAATGCGCATGTTGCTGTGGCGTGCTTTGTTCTCATTATCTACAAGGATATCTTGCATCAGACGAGCAGATTCTCAATGTTGGTCTCATGGCCCAACACCATGGTGGCATCGTCCATCCATCTTCCAAAGCGTTGGTGCGGTGGCCAATATCCCAGAGTTCCTTGAGGACTTCCTCGCAAATGATAACCCGCATATGAGCAAGAATGGAGGTGTCCAGGTTCTGTTGCTCCCGTCAGGAGAGCCATGGAAGAGATCCTGACCTTCCGTAGCCATGGAGTCAACGGCAGAAAGTAGTTTGTCGTCCCCCTCACATGCTCGTCCTCACGAGTTCCAAGTAATGCGGGGCAAATCCTCAGCCCGTCACTGCCAGGTACAAGCTTGTGAATCAGCTAATGTAAGCTAAAGAAGGTCCAAGTAGAACGGAGTGGTATCAAGACGTGACCATTTCTGTCCGCTGCGTGCATGCACCCTCTTTTTTTTTCATTTCAAAATGGAAATGTCAGGGGTCTGTTTAGACTCCTGATGTTCCCCAAAGCCCTGTATCCTTTTAATCACAGCACACACAACAAAACAGTGCACAAACAACATAAGTCACTTACAGTTTTGCGTTACTTTTTTTTACCGTTTCGCAAAAAGGCAAAATCTAAAATGTACAAATATTTGTTATTAACTCAATACAGTTTTAGCTTTAAGATTTGGTTGGGGAAAAATGTGCGCACTGATGCCAATTTCAGTGTGCTTTTATCAATTGAATTGTGTATTTTTATCAGTTTAAACATTGATTTGATAAACATTTGCGCAATTATAGCAGGACCTATAGAATAAGTAGCACCATCTTTTTATTCTACCGAGCATGTGCTTTCAGAAAATTTATGGTTTGGGGGGGTCTTCTACACACGCTAGCAACTCAGCAGTAGAAAATCAAAACAATGGGAACAATTGCAAAATCGGTGCGGCCAGCTGAGGTTAAAAGCGTTCGAGGGCTTGGGAGCAAAAGGGTTAAATTAAACATCTGAAAGGGACAGCACATAGATCTGCAATGCATGCATATCACAATCATGGATAAAAAAAAAAAGGTATTCCACCACTGAATCGGCATCAAAGGCAAAAACATTTACAATTACACTCCTTTAGCTGTAAGTGACGTGTAGTTCCTAGCAGGGAAACACATAATAGGCACACAACAATGTCATGTTCCAGAAAAACAAAGTCCTGAGAAAACATACTGCTCTTTACGTCCTTATGTCAGGTTTTTTTTTTTTTTTACCCCATTTCATTTATTACATTTTTTTGTGGCTTGCCAGATCCTGAAACACTGCCCATCTGGTTTGGACATGGGAGTGTTGATCGCCAGGAGGGTGGGGGTTAGCACCTAAAATGTGTTTCCTCTTTTGCAATGAAATTTAAGAAAACCCCACTATAAGTGTGTTACACACACACACACACACACACACACACACACAAATTAAACATAGCTTTCCAAAGCGTTTAAGTTTACTTCCACTTTTGCAGCCAAAATGGGATAGTGCCTATTTTATATTTATTTGTTACATGTTTCTCATTCACATAGCAGAACTTTTTTTGAGCTGTTGCTTGCAAAATACATGCTCTATTCCGTATGCGGTTTGAATGGAAAGACCAAAACATATAGTGCTGTTACTTTCAAATTTCTCTGCAAAAGTGGAAATACACAAAAAAACTTAAATGTAAGCAGCAATATTTAAATATTTCTATCAAGTTGTGCAATGTGGCTGAGAAATAAAAAAAAATAGGTTTTATGGCAATTTTCTTGTTAAAGTGCAAATAAACGAAGTATTTACATATGCTGAACAAGCATTTAAGGCACTTGGAAAAAAAATATTGTACGATCGCGGGATTTCCCACGATTCTGGTACGAGAATCGTGCAGTGTATGGGCACCTTATGAGAGATCAGAGATATTGGTAGCCTAGCAGCCTTCTAATGTAAACAGCAGATGTTTCTAAACTGACAAATGAAACTGGACTTGAGTCTTTGTTGTGATCTATGAAAATCTCTTCTCAGTACAAGCAGCTAAGGAAATAAATGAGATCTTGTTCTAAAGCTTTTACTGCTTGTTAATATTAGGGCTGTGCAAATTAACGATTAATTTCTCGATTAATCGTTAATCTTTTTGATCGATTTAAAACATTTTTTGAAACTTTCTGCACGAGCGCCAGCCAAGGCATTGGCCTATACACATACAGCACAGCAATGAAGTAATAAAATGAACTAGGATCACACTAATCCAGCTCGTTATTATTCTGAGTTGCCCCACTCAAGTGGCGGCCATATTTGAGTGGGGCACGTGAGATTAATAACGTGCTGGATTAGTGTGATCCTAGTTCATTGTATTACTTCATTGCTGTGCTGTATGTGTATAGGCCAATGTAGTTGGATCTGTATGTGCGTTATAATTAATCAAAATTAATCGATTAAAAAAATTTCGATTAATCGAACACGAAAATTTTAATCATTACCAGCCCTAGTTAATATGCAAATCATTTAATGCCCATAGTCTGAGCACAGGTACACGTTCAGGGGGGCAGGTTTAGTGAGATTTGCCACTTTGATTGCTAATTAAATGTTTACATGCGGTCTTTGTGATGTCATTATGATGTCAAAGGGGAGTGTCGTGAGCAACTGTTTGCAATTATGTCTGTCTATATATACTCTCACTGTTTTTGTTACTATGTCATTGCTATGCCTGAAGAAGGGACCCTGTGCGGCCCCAAAAGCGCTTGTGTGTTTTGACATGGGCTTTCAATAAACCCACGATTGATTATCCTTGAAGGAACTTGGTGTGCTGGTGACATTTCTCATATCCGGTTTAGTGTCAACCGCACAGACAAGGTCTAGTATACAGTCTGGAGACTAAGGGTTCCACAAGGGTACATGAAATATTTTGATTATTTTCACAGTTAAGGCACCACAGCAGTATTGTTACTTTCTAGTTTTTAACATGGAAAAACTTACCAGACAGGTATGCAACTTTTTCTTTTAAAATAGGCAATACTTCCACAGCTTTCAGACCATCATTTCTTTGAAGTCCTAAGAAAAAAAGAAAACAAGACTTAATCAACTTTTCAGACAAAGAATTACGGATTGTACGCCTGGATAATAAACATACTAAAACTCAATTTCTGTAATCCACACTACAGACTTGTGGTTTGATTAAAGGAGAACTATGAGATGAGTGATTTCCACTCACCTCATAGTTCTAGCCGACCTGTGACAATAAGACTGTCACAGGTTGGCTCAGTAGATCGGGAGGTGAGCGAACACATACCAGGTTCGCTCACCTCTCGATTCTGTCACGGCTCTCTGCCGTGACAGGGGGAGGGGCTGGATTCCCCTCTCCCTGCTCCGATCTGCCAGCACTGACTGGCGGAACGGACGGAGGATGGGGTAGGTACAGCTGGCTCTGCCTCTAGATAGGCAGAGCCAGCTGTCACTCACGCAGCTGGGCGGATCCCGACGTCTAAGTCGGAATCCGCTCCGGCGTCTCATTATACCGCGAGCTGTAGCTCGCGGTATACTGAGCTTAGGGTAACGGGAGGACGCTAGTTTGTGTCCTCCCGTTACCCTAAAGAGAACTATGGGGAAAAACACTGACCCCATAGTTCTCCTTGAAGTTATCGATTGTCAGTTCAGGAGTACAAGGTCTATTAACGGCTCTTGAGGGAGTCCTAAGATGACAAAACTTGTAGGGCAGAGGCTACTGACATCAGTCACTCTTTTATTTTTCTTGGGAGAACACAGCTGTTTTGCTTAGAAGGTTTTTGACCTGTATATTTGCTTCAGGGGCATATGTTCTTGTGCTGGACACAGCACATTTTATGCAAGTGCACTTTGATGTCAAATTTTTATACATGAAAGCTTTTTTAGCCTGAGTTATTCTCTGTCACTTTCTCTGTCTATGATGGGATATTGGTACTACTGGGAGCCTCATGACAATGGTGAAGTAATGACAAGCTGACCCAATGTGTGAATTACAGAGAGAGAAGGGGAATCGATGCTGAGAGCCTGGTTTTGAACTATGTATATATTTACACGGTTGCATCACCTTTGGTGAGTTTTCTGTGAGGATGGGAGCACAGTGAAGATGGTTAATGTGGAAGCCACAAGAGAGAGTCCCTAAATCATCTCTAACCTTTTTATGGCAGGCACTCATCTATTAGCAGTTGACAAGTTGATATAAACACAAGCAGGTCTGGTAGAGTAAATGACCCAGGTGACCCAGCATTCATCCACAAGTCATAAACCTGAGTTACAATATCAGCTGCATTTCATAATTCAGAATTGGACTGTGATATTGTAAAATTAAGTGCAAATAGCCGTAGCCCTCTAGGGGGTGCTATGTGGCACCCCTTAGAGGGCTGACAAAAAGATGCTGCAGAGGCAGCAAGAGAGGCTCTTGTTTTGAAACATCAAGAAAAGGAACTACAACAAGAAGTCTTAACCTCGCAGAAGAGTTCTCCTTTAAAATCTGGACATCATCTGTGCAAGTTTGCTTGAGGAGCCTTTCAGACCTCTTTTTTGCTTATTGAAATCTGGACTCTGTCAGAACTCCTAAAACCAGGACTCACCTTTTATTTTACTGTTATATAGATTTGTCTCTATTATCTTTTTCTGTATATTTTTCTGCACCGTTTCTTTTATTAAAGCATGATCTTAAGAATTGTTAAGCTAATCTCCACACTCTAAATACGAATCCTGTCATATTCCTGTCTGAGAGGACAGCGGTATCATAGGCTTTAAGTGTTTTAAATTGTCACAGCATTTGCTGGGAACGGTCTGTGTTTCTGTAAAAAACACATGGTGGCAGCGAACATGTGGTTTTTAAAGGGTTAACTGCAAAGTTAACAAACCCTGGTGACAATCGCGCTCAGTCTGCTGTCCTGAGATTGTGTTGCATGAGCTAATATCTGTGCAGGGTGAGGCTAAGAGTGGTATCGCCACGTCCTTGTAACACAGCGCTCGGTTCAGAACTGCATATAGTCACGCGTGATTGACGTACAGTGGGTTCGGGCTGGGCGTACATCACACAGAGCACTTTCACCAATGCTCTCCCCGCTCAAACCACAACAGTCGCTCTCTCCTCCCCATAGGGATGCCGGCTGCTGCAGTCTGCATCCCCTCCAATCTGCTCTGCCGATACAAATTTCTGCATGCAGCGGGCTCCCAGCGAGGAGAAAAGAGCTGCAGAGCGGCGGGAGCAGAGCCAAAGCGGGGGCGGGGGAGGAGGGGTGTAGCTCGCCTCACCGCTGAGCACTGGTTCCCAGCAGGGAGAAGAAAAGCAGGGGATCCAGATTAACTAAATCGATAATGAGAATCGTTGACAACGATTCTCATCATCAATTAAACTGAATAGTTGTTTCAGCCCTATTGGGAATAGAACAAGCATAAAATAGGTGCTATCCCAATTTAGCTGCAAAAGTGGAAATACAGTTTAGGACCATAAGCTTAAAATGACGACAGTAATACTGACAAAGGGGTGATCCTCAGTGATTCTATTTTGCTATGTATTTATTTTTTTTAGTAAATACAGCTGGATAAAAAATTACTACGACAGTAGAAGTGATTTTTTCCCGAAGATATGGGGAAACAACGCGATTTAACAGCCTTTGATAGTGGGATGTTTGTTGGCGCTCGGAGCCATGGAGCGAGTATCAGCAAAACAGCAGAATTCGTTAAATGTTCAAGAGCAGCTGTTGTTAAAGTGTTTAAAGACTGGACTGTCAGCC